TAGTGATAAAATCAACAGCTTCTGTAAGAAAAACACTCCGTATTGTTTAAAGTAACATACCTAAATTTAACCAGATATGTGGTAATTCTAGTTTATTGAATCGTAACATACCTAAATTTAACCAGATAGGTGGTAATTATATTTTATTGAGTCGTAACATACCTAAATCTAACCAGATAGGTGGTAATTCTAGATTATTGAGTCATAACATACCTAAATGTAACCAGATAGGTGGTAATTCTAGTTTATTGAGTCGTAACATACCTAAATCTAACCAAATAGGTGGTAATTCTAGTTTATTGAGTCATAACATACCTAACAAATTTAAACTAATATAATATCAGTTCTGACAGAATCTTGGATTGGCGGTGTTTAATGTAAAGAAAATGTAAACTAATATAGTATCAGTTCTGGCAGAATATTGGATTGGTGGTGTAATGTAAAGAAAATGTAATCTACTATAATATCAGTTCTGACAGAATCTTGGATTGGCGGTGTTTAATGTAAAGAAAATGTAAACTAATATAGTATCAGTTCTGACAGAGTCTTGGATTAGTGGTGTTTAATGTAAAGAAAATGTAAACTAATATAGTATCAGTTCTGACAGAGTCTTGGATTAGTGGTGTTTAATGTAAAGAAAATGTAAACTAATATAGTATCAGTTCTGACAGAATATTGGATTGGTGGTGTAATGTAAAGAAAATGTAATCTACTATAATATCAGTTCTGGCAGAATCTTGGATTGGCGGTGTTTAGTGTAAAGAAAATGTAAACTAATATAGTATCAGTTCTGACAGAGTCTTGGATTGGTGGTGTAATGTAAAGAAAATGTACTCTAATATAATATCAGTTCTGACAGAATCTAGGTTTGTTGGTGTGTATCATATAAAAATTGTAAGCTCGTATAGTATGAAGAATTTTTATAGTTTCCGTTTTCACCTTACTTGTTCAAGCAGAGTTGTGCTGGACTTAAAAAAAGGCTTGTGCAAGCTTGTCAGTTTCCTCGTTTAGCTTAACCCCTTCATGACCTGGCACGTAGATCCAAGTGACGATCTTGCTTTGTATTCTACCATCCATCTTGGGACCAACAATACTGAATTTCATGCGGAACTCCCTTTGAGTCAGTCACAAATATCATGTTGATGGCACTGGTTGGTTGCTTTCAACAAACCAGTGAAGGACTTGCCTTATGGATTCCACTTCCATCTTGTGGTGCTAAAGGATAGCTTAAATACAACACCAACATTATGCAGAAAAATCCACATGTGGAAATATGAAATCTGATGGTGACGAATTATCTTATTGGCAGCTGAATAGCACCTTTTCAGCTACGATTGTCGACTTCGGTGACTTGTAGGAAATTCCTGCTGTTGTGGAGCTAGAATCTCCCAGTTGAAAATGCAATGGGTCAGTGATGGAAAGTATGGTCTTTACACTTCAAGCCTTACTAAATAAATTTGCTTGTAAGAGCTGCAAGTGTTCTGTGATTTTGCTGAAGCTTATAAGGTGTAATAAATATAAAGATGGTGGTTGGAATACATCTTATAATACAGGTGTTTTGTAGATTTTCATTCTTTACCAGCTGTCTAGAATTCGAGTTGATCATCGATAATACATAATCTAGGATGGGGTGGATAAGACTTTGTTAGAACATAAGTAGTTGAAATTCTTCAGTTTTATTTATTGTTGTCACTTTCAGTGCACTTATGCCTTTGGTAGTTCTGGTACACATGGTGTTAATATTGTTGGTGAAGTTCCCTGTCCATATACTTTAATTCTTATTTCATGGATAGCAGTGTCCATAAATGGCTTCTTATCTTTAACATACCTGTCATTAAATGTGCAAAATATGGCTGTAGGTTTGTCATATTGATGTCATTGGACCATTTTGTCACCCTGTCAAGGAATGGTTGCATCTTACTTTCAATTTTACTCGAGCTATTGTTGTACGACAGAATATTTTCAATAAATATTGGCACACGAGATCTGGTTAGACTATGAAAGCAAACTAGGCCTATCGGGTAGATGTTGAAGAGGGTTCTCGAGAGTGGTGATCCCTAAAGGAGACCATTAGTATTATCCAATCTGATTGCCAGCTTCAATGCTTCATGATGCATCTTCTAGCTGTTAGTGCAGTTACAACCCATCTTACACATTTATCACTTATGCCTATTCTAAGCATTTTATCAACAAGAATCTGAAGCTGGAATCTACTGTATGCATTGTAGGCAGAAGGTGTAGGATTTGTCACTAATCGAGCAATACGGAGTGGGTTTTTTTTTATTTTTTTTTACAAAAGCTGTTGATTTTCTCACTATTCAAACAATACGGAGTGTGTTTCTTACAAAAGCTGTTGATTTTCTCACTATTCAAACAATACGGAGTGTGTTTCTTACAAAAGCTGTTGATTTTCTCACTAGGTAATTCTAGTTTATTGAGTCAACCTATCTGGTTAGA